TGTGCGAACATGCCAAGTCCTGCAGCCTTTCCACACCGGGAGCCTTCCTCCAGATGTTCCTTCTATGCTCCTGACTTGCTGCCTTGGGTTTTTTTTGCTCTTTTTGAAGTGGTGTCCCATTTCCTGTGCACAAAGACTATTCCTTGTTGCTTTTTGGAGCCCAATTAAAAATATCATACTGATTCCTGCGTACTATCCAGCTCTGCTCTTGGCTGGCTCCAGCTCCCTTATTCTTGTGGACCTTTTGGGCAGGGACTTGTTTTACAAGGCAGATCATAATATTGTCCAGAAAATGGAGATGTGCAGCCTCATTTTAAGTCAATCTGGTTGGTTCCCTTCCCTGAAACAAACTTAAACCACACTAAAAAGTGAACTACAGTGCTGACTTTTAAGGAAAAGCCTGCAGCTCTTCCCATGCTACATGTATGGTCTACAGCCGCTCCCTCACCCCACGAGCAGTGATGGCCAGCATGGTCTTCCCAGAGTGATCCCAGCCCATCCCACCCTGAGAAGCTCAGCCAAACCATTCCCATTTGTCAATCCTGGGAGCATCTCTCAGCTCCCCCTTTGTTCTGGCCCTCCCCACAGATGTGTGCTCTGCTGTGAGTTATCAAAGTGGGGCTGTATGCTCCAGCTGCTGAGTGATTTGCAGCGGAAACAAGTTTGGCTCTAGCTCTGATTTGTCCCCGGGAATGAGTTTCTGACCCTGCTGAAGTCCTCGGGAACACTGCCAAGCTCTTCAAAGGGGCCAGGCCTCACTTTGCAAGCTCACCTCTGGGGTTTGGCTTGCAAACACCTATAGCAGCACTGGTCATTCAAGAAAAATGATGGAGGTGAATAGGGCTCAAAGTCCAAAGGGCGATGCTGCACAAAGCGTGTAGCTGAGCAAATACTGCTTTAGAAACAGCATGAATAAGTTCATTCAGGGCAGCCCTGCCCTCAGCAGCAGCATCAAGGCAGTGGCTCAGAAGCTGGATCAGCCTTGTGTCAACTATTGTAAAAGGGTGACAAAATGAATGGTGTACAAGAGGAAGGGGCTTCAGGCTTGCACATGCTTCTTAAATATTACCTCCTACCATCACAGCCTTTACTGATTTCCCCATGCTACTGGGCACTGGCCAGATTATAACGAACTGTGGTGTCTTTCTGGGAGGAGGGAGTGAGCTGGGGAAAAGAAGATGGGATAAACCCAAGTGATTGCAAGGGAAAACAAAAAAGGTAAGGGGGAACAGTGTTAATGCAAAACTGGAGAAGTGGGGTGCCCCAAGGAAAGGACTCAGGGAAGGCTGATGATGGTGGTGGTGGAAGGTCAGAGCTGGCTGGATGTAGGGCCTCAAATGAAGTTGGTAGGCTTGGCCAGGTCCTGGCTGAGCCTCTTGGCATGACTGGCTTAAGTCAAATGACCATGGGAGGTGACACCAGCCCACCACATGTATGGACCCCTTTGTGCCAGGTAAAGATGGTGCCAGTGCAGGCCCAATGGGGCAGAGATGCCCAGGCCCCAGGACCACAAGTTTGGGGAGCATCATGTACCCCAGCGTGGACCTGAGAAGCGGCAGGGAATGTTAGACGGGCAAGATGGGGGTGCATCAGGTCACACTGGCTCTACCCCTGCTGGGCAGAGGAAATACGGAGGAGGGCAGAGCCAGGGCACTCAGCGCCCCCCCCCTTCGCTCCCGGGGACCCCCGCTGCCCCAGCCCATTGCTGACGGTGGCCGGCAGGCGGGGAGCGCGGCGGGGGGCGGGCGGGAGGCGGGGCGGCGAGGGGGCGGTGAGCCGGGCTCCCCGGGGGAGGCACCGGAAGGCGCCCGGCGCTGATTCATTGCAATAAATTGTTCCCGTCAGGGCTAGGCTTGGTCATCGCCGCTTGAGCCGGAGCCGGGGCTGCAGCAGGAGCCGGAGCGGAGCCTGAACCACCGGAGCGAGAGGATGAAGATGCAAGCCGAGGTGATCCGCGAGGGCGAGCTGGAGAAGCGGAGCGACAGCCTTTTCCAGCTGTGGAAGAAGAAGCTGGTGGTGCTGACCAAGGACAGCCTCAGCCTCTTCCCCGACGGGCACAAGCGGGCCAAGGGCAAGGAGCTGGGCTTCGGCTCCATCCTCAAAGTGGACTGCGTGGAGCGCACGGGCAAGTACATCTACTTCACCATCGTCACTAAGGACCGCAAGGAGATTGACTTTCGGTGCCCGGACCAGAGCTGCTGGAACGCCTCCATCACCATGGCCCTCATCGACTTCCAGAACAAGCGGGCCATCCAGGACTTCAAGAGCCGCCAGGAGATGGAGCAGGCGGCGGGTGCCCAGGAGCGGCGGCTGGCCCGGGCGCCCTGAGACGCAGCCGACCGCCCCGGCCGGCCCGGCCCCGAGGTGAGCCCCAGCGCGGTGCTGCTGCGCTCCTCGTTTATTTGTTAAATTACTTTTAATTGTTGCCCCATCCCCTTCACCCACCCGCTCCAGCCGGGGGGGGCTTCATTCCGCCCACACCGCTCACCTCCTCTTCGAGCCGGAGCTGCCGCCGGCCCGCGGAGGTGCCGGACCGCACCCCGAAACCGGGCCGTGCTGCCAGGCTGCGGGGCTTGCTCACATCCCTCTCCCGATGCATTGCTGGGAATTTCTGGTGGGAGCTGGCCTCATGCGGGGTGCTAAGTACGGCTATGGGGATGGTGGGGAGTAAGAAACGGCACCTGGCAGCGCTTTCCTGGCAGAATTACCTAAAAATACGGTATCTGCAAAAGTTAATGCCGACAACTTACTCTTCCTTTAAAGCCCCTCTTATTTGTTTTTTCTCCTGTCCGTTTAACTAACCTGCTTTCTCTTGTTGCCTTTAGAGCATACCACTGGATGATAAACCAGATCAAGTGTCTTGGACTGAAATGGGACAGGGTACCAATGAAGGAAAGCGAAGAAGAGAGCTGGAAGCAGCTTGGTTTTCTCCAAGCCTGTTGAGGCTGCTGAGCAAAGAGCCCTGAGCTTTGCCTGAGATGCATTTAAAGAAAAACCAAAGACTTTCATAAAGGACTTCTAGCAAAGCGTCCACGTGTTTTAAGTGGCATGGCTTTGCGAACGATTATCTTCTATTTATGAGACGTGAGGAAGATTCAACACTGACTGGTGGTGTTAAGCGCAATTTAAATTATTTGTAGTATCTATATTTGTATTTATTTTGAAGAATGTCTTTCAGCATTTACTGGTCTTAATATTGCTTTTGCATTAATATGTCCATTCCGAATAAATTACTTGAAATGTTCACTTTTTATTACCGTATTCTGGGCTGTAGTAACTTTTGTTGATGTATATTTATCTGTGGAGTGGGCAGTGGTGTGGTGGCTTTAAAAGAGTGGGTAAGCTCAGCTTCTTGGTGCCATGGACTGAGCAGCGGGAGGTGGAGAAAGCCCAGATAACCCATTTGCGTTTGACCTCATCAAACCTTGAGCAGGGACAGAAAGTTTGTTGAGGTCCGATTCTGGTCAGTGGTGGAAATAAGCTTGGGTAAGTGCTCCTTTTGAAGTGCTTTCCCATGTAATTGAGTAATGGTGTCTAGAGAAGGTGTAAGAGCTCCCTGCAACAGTAAAAGGCTGCTCTTTCCTAATGCCCTCTGTCCTTCCCCTGGCCCCTGTAGCTTAGTGCTGTGCTAAAGCAGGAAACTGGATTCTTTATTTTGGAATAACACTGCTGACAATCTATGGGATTCCTCAGCTTTGCAGCAAAGCAAGCTGAATGCCTTGCTCTCTCCTCTTCCTCTACCTCTTCAGTCTTTAGATTGAGTTAAATTTCTACAGGATGACTGGGAAGAATGGAGATGATGGTCTTTTTTTCCTATAGCACCTGGACCAAGAAGCTTGGAGGAAAAAAAAAGCAGCTAATTTTCTGGATAAATGCACTGAATTTTTATCTTGTGAGGCTCAATTATCACTAAGTAACCTGGGCTTCCTTGAGAGCAACGCTGCAGCACATGACTCTGCTCTTGCAGTAAGGATTACAAGCTTAGCAGGCAAAGTACTTGCTGCTAATACTCCAAATTTGGTAATCTCAGTCAGGTAATTTCCCCCTCCCAAGATCAGTGCAATTCTTGCAGGAGACTTTGTACTGGAGGAAGTTGCAAAGTCTGTAATTACGAACAGCCTGTAGTAAGAGCAAGGGAGACTCAGCATAGGGAACAAGGAAAAAAAAACCTAGAAGGAGGGTTGGCTTCCGTTTTCCAAAGCAGCAGAGACTGGTACTGCAGCATGTTCCATCAGGGCTTTGTATCTCCTTGCGTACCCTGCTGGGCTCCTGCAGAGGCAGGGCCGCACATGGCTGAGCTGTGGACATAGCAAATCATTGCCCACAGCATTTGAAAACCTTTGGCCTTGATCCCCTCTAGCACTAGAATGCCAGATGTGCATTTAAGGCAGCAAAATGACACTGAAACGGAGATGTATTTTACTCCCGACTTTCCTTGGTACCATTGCAGGGGTGAAATAAAAGGCTAAACCAGATCAGAGGCACTGGCTCCTAATCCCCTTAGTTTCTGTGAATCCAAGCAGGAATGCTGACTGACAACAGCTGAGGATCTAGAGCAATTGACTGCAATGAAGGCCACTGAGGGAGGAACCTGATAGCTCCAAAAGGTTCCACGGCTGCCAGTTACTCCAGCATGGCTTTAAAGCCTTCTCAAACCCATCTGTCCCTTACTCTAAAAGCAAATGCTGACAAAATGAAGGTATTGTTCACGTGGGTTTATTCCAGGTATGTGGAATCAAAAATAAAACTCAAGACAACTTTATTTCTGTGGAAAAAGGGAGTTACTTTTCTGCAATTGCGTTATTGGTTTTTCATTTCTGCCAGTGGGATATTGCTCTTCAAGAGGTAAACAAATAAACCTGTATTAACAATTAGCTGTAAATAGCCAAAGGAGGAGACACCAAAATGTTTGTATAAAACTCCACCGATGGTTGGGCCCACTGTTCTGGTCAAGGGTTGCACTGAGGCACAAATCCCAAGCATGGTACCTAGGAGAGATGGCAGAGACACGCAGATGTTAGGGTGAGAGCAAGTCTTGGGATGGAAAAGTGGAGAAGAGTGTTAGGGATCCCCTTCATCCCTGATGGTGTTCTCCTGCAGTAGTAGCAAATGCAAATAACTTTAAATAATCTCTTGCATTAATTTATAGAGGTCCAATTGGGGTTTGTTAAGGCTAAGGATTCCGGGAGGCATGGGGACTAGTTTCTACCATGAGCCAGGTCAGCTCTTTACTGAGCATTCCAGACAACTGTAACACTGCCCAAAAAGGAAGCCAGTGCTCACTGCTGCCTTCACCAGGGCCCAGGGATGCCTTTGACCCCCGAAGATACTTTTGAACCTTGCACCCAGCAGGACTGGTAACTACTGAATGGGTTTAGGGATGGACAGGTAATTTCTAGGGTTGTGATTGAGACTTCCAAGCAAATCACACAGATTCTTCCAATAGCCTAATACCCTAGAGGGCCCTGTTCTGCCCAAGCTGCTATTGCCACTTATTCTCTAGTGTAGGACAGAACAGCTCTTGAGGGCTTAGCAGTTGTGAGAAGCTTAGGTCTAACTAGGTATTTAAGAATAAATAAATAAAACCACAGAAAAAGACTGAACCCCCTTGAAATACTCCTTCCCCCCCCCTTTGCAAAAAGAACGGGTATTTCCATTTGGATGGAAATGCGAGCCCTTCGTCTGGCTGGGCCGGTTCCCCCTTCTCGCAGCTCTCCATTTGCATCCTTAACAGGAACCCAGTTGATGGGGAAGCACCTCTAGTTTGCCAAAGGCAGGCTTTTTTCCACACACAGACGGATGGCTAGGTCATCCCATGGAATGCAAAACTGGCCCCCACGCGCTCGGTGTGGTCTTCACCATGCCGTCTTCATGCAGGACACCTATCACAGTCAGGGGAGCAGAAAATACCCAACCAGCCAGAAAATCATTAGTCCTCAGCACCAGGAGGAAGGGCAAGTTGGCAGCGTGTGCAAGAAACTTGTGCCCTGCTCCGAAACTATGTTTGCAATTGTATTATTTTAATATCAGTGCAATTATTTAGGATGTTAGCATCAGTTTTCCACCAAGGCATTCACTGAGGCATCGCTGCCGCACAAGGCCAGCAGCATCTGGGAAGGATGAGGAGGATGCTGTCCTGCGTGTGATAAGATGTGGAGTCAAGTGTGATATTTAATGTGGGTAGCCACAGGGAAATGATCACCAGCTCTACGAGAGAAAAGGCAGCCAGGTGCTCGTGTAGTGCCAGCCAGCAACTGCTGGGCTTTTGTCAGCATGCTTAAAATATTTGTGCAATGAGCCCGAGCCGAGGGCGTAGCTGCACAGAGAGGGAAATCTCTCGGGAAGCGCTGCAGAGCGCTCCTCCCGCGCATGGGAACACAAAGGCAATGGGTGGGACCTCGCCTTGACCCTTTGCCAATGGGAACCATCCCACAACCACCAAACTTTCTGGGCAGGTTTTGCAATTATTTTTTCCCCTTTAGCTATCTGAATTAAACTAATTACTACGTATGATTGCCAAACTGGCTCTTATGATTGAGGAGGCTTTTTTTCCCTTTCCTTTTTTTTTTTTTTTCTGGAGCAGAAATCCATCTTCTTAAAAGGCTGGGCCCTCCCTCTGGACTTCTCCAACATGCTGCTGAGAAAGATAATTTGTGTTTAATGGGCTTAAATTAGATCCCTCGTGTCAGACGCCCTCGAGCTTTGGGACATTGTAAATCTCAGCTCTGCAGAGTGGCCCTAGCTCTGTTGCAAAGCTGCACATGTGATGGATCCCATTTAAGGCAAGACCTTTAACTGGGAAAAGTCACCGCATCAGCAGAAAAGTTCCTGCGCTGTTTTGCACAGCTCTGCCGACGCACATGCTCACCTTCTTTCTCATGGCTATCCCACTTTCTGCAACTTCTGTTCCCCTTTCTCTATCTCCCCAGCTTTTTCCTCCCCTTTTCCCATACCTGGCATGACCCATCCTGGCTGGGAGCCCATCCTCTCCTCCTGCCCCAGTCCTCCTCTCCTCCCAAAGGTTTCAGGGTTGGGTGCTGGCAGCTCCTGAAGCCGGGCGGCTCCGTCCCTCCTCCCACCCTCTGCTGTGCCGGGCGCCCTGGCTCACCCTCCTTTCCAGCTCACATCCTGTTGCCACGCTTAGATGATGGTGCTGGCCCAGATCAGCCACACGCCTGTGGGGCAGTCACAGGGCCTGATTTAAGGATTAGGTCATCTCTACCAGTGGACGCCTTCGAATCAGCAAAGCCCAAGCAAAGCTGGGGGCTTCAGAGTGCTGAGCCCTGCCTGCAAGCTCTCCCCCTAAGGTTTTGCATCTGACGTGCAAATAAATCATGAAACATTGGCCCATCATGCAGGGAGGCTCTGCTGGGCTTCCTCCCTCCCCCGAGGGTGGGGGAGTCTGGACAGAAACAAGACCTCCATTCTTGGGGAGGGACTGGGGTTGACAAGGGGTGCTTGTGCAGACACAAGCCCCCCTGAGTTCAGGGCTGCCATCCCACCAGCTCACATGCCCAGCTGAACAGCACATGCGTGTGGGGCAGAATTTTCCCTTCCTGACTTTGAAGATGAGGAGAGGGGAAAAAAAAATATCAAAGGGAAATGAATGAAATCATTTCCGCTATTTTCCTTTCAATGCAAAGCCCCAGCCATAAGCAAAGAGTAAGTGGCAAACTCATCAGCACTGATAGGAAGTGACCTTGGATCAGACCTGAAAGCAGGATGGTGGAAGCGAGGGATGGTGCCAACCTGCATTCCAGTGTTGCCTTCCTGAGACACCTATTTAAAAGGCCAGGATGGGTGACTCAGTGTCTAGCAAGGACAGACAGGTTATCCTCCTGCAATGCCACATTCGCTCCAGCCTTGTGATGAGGTGGACACTTGAGCTCAGCCCAAACTCCAGATCCTCAGAAAGCCTCACCCTGGCCCAAAGAAAAATCTCCAGAAGCTATACCAGTCCAAGGCTAGCAAAAACATCAGGAAAAGACAGGAGAAAGTCTCAAAAGTGATGTTTCCAAAGGCAAATTCTCAACTTGTATTTCCTTGCTTTAACTAGAAGTTGTTGCAAGCTAGCATTCGGGTTTTTGACGCTGTGACAGTGAGGCTTTTTCATAAAGCCGGATTTCCACGCTGTTAGAGAAGCAGGGATTTCTAACATGCCACCAAAATGCTCACCGTGCAGAGCTGGTCCCGGGCTCACATAGGAAGGAACAGCGTTTCAGCTGCTGCACGGGTGGAGCAGGCATTGCGGGGTGCCACCCACAGCCAGAGAAGGGATAGCAAGCATTTTAATAGCTGCGTTTCACTGTGAGACACCCACAGTGTCACTGCTGCAGCTGCTGCGGAGAGGCAGCTCAAAGCTCTGCTGCGTCAGGCATTCCTGCCTTCACACTGGCCCCTGCCCCGGTGTGTCCAGAGCAAACACCAAACCATCCAATGCCGCTTCCCTCAGAAATGCTGCAAGATGAAAGCACAGTTTGAACGGTGAAGGTCAGGGAGGAGTGTCAGAGACAAGGTTTTCCCCCAGCAGCATCCCTCCTCAGCATGCCCAGTTTCAAGCCAGCTGTAACTCTGGAATTTGTAGTGCCACTTGGCATGGCATCAGCCCAGGAAGGACAGTCAGGAAAAAGCACTGGATAGCTCTTCCAGTGCCCTGCAGTTCCCTCTCAACCATCTGCACCACCCCTTGGGATGCCTCCATTCTGCCCTGCCATCCTGCCCTGCCATCCTGCCATGCAGACACTGTCCATCCCACCAAGATGCAGGCTGACCTGACAACATAAGAAAGCAGGGAGCAGAATGAGACAACTAAGCCCATTTTCCTCTCTGACCAAAGCTTGCCTTCGGGCCTTTGGGCTTTAAAAGCCAAGCAGTGCTTCAGTTTTCCTCACAAAGCCCCTTTGAGAAGAGCCTGGATGAATTCCAGTTTGGCTCTACATCCCAAAGCCATTTGGTGCCCTTCCGCCGGCTGTCCCTCCTCACATGAACGTTGCTTCAACTCATGAAACAGCATATTTTCTTCCTGGCCAAGTGGAAGGCCTGAGATGTCTCCAGTCCACACCTCTCTGGGAACTAAGCGGTCCTCCCAGGTAGAAATATTGCACTTGGAAATCACAGGCTCCCAGCATTTGTAGGAGATGCGGTGGTCAGCTCTACAAATAAACTACTGAAGTGACATTCAGAAAAGCTCTTCATCCAAAAGCATCTCCAAAGTGCTTTATAAACTTTGCACTAATGGGCTGTGCAAACCGTAACTTCCATTCTTGATCGGGTCTGTGAAGAAGCATCTGCTCAGACAGCTGCTGGGGAAGATGAAGGGTGCAGGCCTGGCATCCTAGAAAAGCCCAGCTAAAGCAAAGAGACTTGGGTACCTGGTGAATGCAACTCTGTGAGAAGACACTGAAACAGCCTGAGCAAAAGACACCAAACCAGGATAACCCAGCTCCATCCTGGGACAAACTCAGCAAGGCTCCCATGACAATAACATAGGCATATTTCCTTCACTGTCAGAACTAAAAACACAGGTATGAAGATTTGTGTGTCTACCACTGCATTTCAGCCTGTTTGTACAGGGAAATATAGTAACTCTTTGACTGAAAGATGGCCAAAATGTAGAAGAGGGGGCAATTACTGCATTGAGCAAAGCATGTTTCCAAAGGGCAATCAAGAATACCTTCTGGAGACACCCTAAATTAAAAGGCATGAACAAGCAGCCCTCTCAGGCATCCTCATGGCTTTTTTTGTTTGGTTTTTTTTTCTTTCTAACATACCTTGGCTTCCCATGGAGAGCAGAATTTGGGTGGGAAAGCCTTCCCTTACAACAGCCACCTCTGTGGATGTCAGCAGGCAGCACAGGACCAGGAGCACTGGGGTGTGATGTCGTTCAAGCTCATCCTGTATTAACACCAGTGGTCCCCATTCAGCTGCTCTGCTGACACCCACTGCATGCAACTGCCAAGCCAGATCTGCTGGGGAATTGGGCATTGGTCATGAATGTGCCCTAGCGCTTGATAGTGGTAGTGTGAGCTAGGAAGTATCTAATGGACTTGAAAAACAAGAAAAGACCAGTCTGATTATTTTGGATGAGTCTTACCAGTATCAGAGGAAGGGACAGCCTTGGTGAGGATGCTGTCGGTGATGGTGCCCAGCGTACTGAAGGCAAACACCAGTGGCACCGCAATGATGCAGTAGTGCCACACAGTCCTCATCAGGGCCTAAGGGACAGGACACAATGGAGCACGGATCATTAGAGAGAACAAGTGTTGACTTTGTGGCAAGAAGCAACCTAGACAAACATAAGGAGTCAAACCCATGATTTACTTAGGTAAATTGTGGGAGCCACAAGTGATACATGATGGTGTGGCTTTGGCCATTGCAGGGTCTTTCATAGCCCACCATTTGTCTGCAGTGAAGTATTCCAAGCATGTGGAGCAAGTAGCAGATGATACCCTACAATCTGGCAGCACGTTTCTCTGGCACTGCTGTGGGTATTTTTAGCATCTGGGAATTAGTGACGTCCCTGTGCCCTTCCCCCCATCTTCTGTCTCTTGTCCAATTCCTGAGGAAATGCTGAATAGCAGATGCATGTGGTGTACTTCAGGAAGCCTCCATTACTTACACAAAACAGCCTAGAGAAGGCATTTCAGTTCATTATCATAAATAATTAAAACTAAACTGAGCTTGTCAAAATAAATGAGTGCTGTGCATTATGTAACATCATACCTTTGGGATTTCTAATCCTGTTCTGCTGCTTCCTCGCTAATAAATTCACCAAATTCACTAATCTGGAATGGGTCTCCTGGCCATAAGTGCACATTAGCGAGCATAATTAGGGAGAGTAATGATTTTGTTATTGCACATATTCTTAGTGGAGACATCCCTCCAGCTGTCTAATACTGAAACAAAAGTGGTGAGCCTCCCTGAAGCCGTGGGGCTAGAGCGGCTCATTCACAAGCCCTGCTGGTCAAATGAATGGATTTCTCTGGGGCATGAAAAGGAAATTCCCCCTTTCTTGCAAGTCTCCTGCCCTCACCTGTGTCTCAAGGTGTGTTATTGTGGCTGCAAAACATTTTTGCCACTGGTTTAGCCAGAAGTTTCCTTCTCTGGAGTTCTCTCTCTCAAGATCTGGTCCCTGCCTCTCGGCTATAGAAGATGGAGAAGCCCAGAGACATTGCTCGTTAATGACTTGGAAATACTGAGGTTTATTCCTAGTTCCCCTCTAGACTCACACACAGCCAGATTTCTCTCCTTGGAGGGGCTGTTTGCCTATATTTTGGTTAAGATCTAGGCACCTCTGATTAAGGAACCAGAGAACAAAGACAGAGGAACAGGTATTTGGTACATCAACATTCAGACACAGAGAAAATAACTCCTTGCTAGGGCAAATGTCATTGCAGGACAACATTGCAGAGCTCAGAAAAAAAAAACAGCTTTAACCCCATCCCACTTTGTATGAATTCCCTCATGGGCTGAAGCACGTGGGCAGAAAAGACCAGAGCAAGGTCTGTCCTTCTGTAAAACCAGGGGAAATTGCTCTTTGCTCCCCTGGGACTTGGAAAGATCTGAGCCAGGCAGACCCCAGTCTCTGCTGCTCCTCAGCCGCTGAGTAGGTAGCGCTCTTTTTGCCCTGAGCAGATCTGAAGGCATTTTTCAGGGGAGGGAGGCAGGATCAGCAGTTTCAGCAGACAGACCCAGAAAGCACATGCCTGGGAAATGCAGGCAGCGAGGCAGGATGAGGCACAGCCATGCCTTCACACAAAGAGAAGAACTGTCCTGTCGCAAGAGCCAAGCCCTCCTACACCCCTGCCCACGTGCTCCTGGATTGCATCTGCAGATCAGACACTGGCTCTCCCCTTCTCGCCTTTTCCAGGTGTTACTGTATTGCTGAGCAACCAGCCCACCCCTTCCCTTCTCCAGGTGTAGATTGCTGGGAATATCCTGCAGTCTCTTCCCACCTGGACTGCTGTTTGTCTATTGCCACTGGTGCCAGTATCCCATAAACCCTTTAGCCCACCTTTCAGTGATATGAAGATGGGTTTCAGAGTGTCTTTTATTAACAGCTAGGCCTTCTCCTTACTTCTGTCCTTTGGGGAGAGGATCTGCTTTGTTTGGAGACCATGTACAGCAAAGGCACAGCAGGCTGGATGCTTCTCTACCAGCAGCTGTGTAGGATTAAAAGCTTAACACGTCAGTCTCTGCATTTGGGGCCTGATGCTGTGACGGTACTCATCCCTACAGAGACGGAAAACCACCCTACAAACGGATGTTTTCTTAGCAGCCGCTTGAACAGAGTGCTTTTTAATAAAGCATCCCTGCCAAAGAGAATCACAGCTGCATTTGCCTATGAATAGTTATTGTGGGAAGTCACTGCTGACCCTTGTCCCCAGGCCTGTGATGTCAGGCTGTCCACAGCCCTCTGTGCTTAGCATAATTGCCAACTCTAAAACTATTTCCTTTCCTGGCTCCCCTCCCTTTGCAGCTGATGTCAGCTTCCTCGCACTGGGGCATTAGCCACCCTGTGTGCCACTCCACTGCTATCAAGGCTTACTTTCCTACCTCCGACTAATTCCAGCCTTCCCTTTCAGTGAGACCTCAACACCCTTCCTGCACCATGCTCAGGAGCACCAAGTGCTGTGCAGATGTCCCATGCTAAGGTGACATGTCAATACCAGCCAAAACTGTGTGACACTAGCCAGGAGGGACCCGTTCTGAGCATCCTACCAGCTGGCAGCATCTCTGTGAGCTCTGGAATCCCAGAGAGGTGACTGCACTCCATCTGCAGAGCAACCCCTTCATCTGCATCCATCCTGCTTTCCCAGCCTCAGCTCACACATGCGGTTTAGCCTCAGATTAATTAAGGGACATAGGTGCCTCATCTCATCTATCTAGCTGGGAACCATGAAGTTCAACACCCTCCAGGTCTTGTCCCTGACTTCCCTATAGCTGCGGCACAGTTGTGGGAATGGCATCCATCCTACCCACGCCAGTGGGAGCACCAGTGCCCTAGCAGCAAGGCTCGAGGCCAAATCCTGCAGGGAATGTCTAAAGGCTGACACAGCTCAACCATCTTTTTGACCCATCTCACTGTTGGGAACCAGTGCACACATTTCCTCCATCGCCATGGCTGGGCAGAGCTATCCGGTTCTCTGAATGTGACTTATCTGAGCAAACACAGTTAGTGGCAGAGCTACCTACATAAATTCATTTTTCCAATTACCAGTTGAGACTGGCATCAACTACTGCCTATGCAGACACAACCAGTGACAGGTAACATCGCTTACCTCAAAACAGAGGATCAAAATTATTGCCTTGCTACCTCCTTCCCCAAATACTCTCAGCCTGAGGAAGTTAGGCAAAAATAAGGCCCCAGAAGTACAACACACAACCTCCGTTGTCTCACAGCAGCATACAACCGCAATGATTTCCCTGCCCCCCCCCCCCCCAATCTCAATTTACTTTCTGGGTAGTTCAGGAAATGCAGCTCCTGACAAGACCAAGGGCAGTATCTCTATGCAAAGCAGTGACTCAGGAGGGACTTAACAAGTTTCTGTGTGACATTAATAATTTTTTTAATCCCCATAACCATTACTCAAGTGGCTCTTTATTGTTCTTTCGAGTGGTGCGTATGCTGAGCACGGCTCTGGTTATACAGAGGTCCAGGGGAGCTGGTTTTCCCCCAAGGACCACCCAGCAAAGCCAGTGGTGGCATTTCAAGGGGCAGAACTTGCAGCCAGGTCTCATGGCCCTTGTGCAACTGCATTACTAAAAAAGTATCATGGATGATTTCACACTCAGCCTTACCATGCCAAGGCCCACGCCAGCAAAGACGAAGACACTGAGCTTCAGCAGGGTCATCTCTGTGCAGCGGCTAGTGAGTTTTCCAATGACCAGGCCCTGGACAACCTGGGAAAGAAGTACACGAGCACTATTAAGCCCAACATATAACAATTCAAACAAACTCAAAAGAGAACTGCTACAGTGCTTTAAGCAAATGAAAGCTGGCAAATGGGTTATTCCCAGGGACCTGGCTGTCACAGTAAACGGCTGGAAGACACAGTCCATTATTTCAAGCATTTTGCGTCCTAGGAATAGGTCCATCCCATCAGCTTACAGTCCTTACTCAGGGTGCATGTCTGAGTTTGCCATCACTGCCTGCTCACTAGAGCTGACTGAAACTTTCTAAAGACACTTGCAGATACAAATGAATTTTTCTAACTCACGATATTTTTGTGGAATACAGTTAACACCAAGGTCTTCATCCTTGGCAAGTCCTTCCAAAGAAAAAATGTAAAATTGTATGCAGAGAAGGAAAATGCCTCCTTTCCTGTACCTTCACTTGCCATTATTTTAAACTGTAAGTACACAAATTGGGTGGTTCATAATTTTGTGTCAGGAAACGAGTATGACAGAGATGTTAATACCCAGTCCCAGCAGTATGTTCAGATACAAGGGATGGGGAACTGGTTTTACAGATTTTAAATAAAAAATGGGGCAAAGGGGGAGGGAAGGAGGAGTAAAAATATTTAAACCCCAGGAATTATTTGGCTTTTCCAGCATGTTGCCAAGCAGAGATTCCTTTTTTATTTCTCTGTTCAGCATCTCCCATATTTCAATGATGCTGGCCTCTCACAGCCAAGTAGACTTGAGAGGACAGAGATCACTGTGAAAATGAAGCCTGACTGGCTGCATTTCAGGGGAGGAACAGATAGGAATCTAGCCCTGTCTTGAAAGAGTTTGTCTGATCCAAGCAAAAACGCCTCCGACTTGAAAGAAGAGCCCTAGTTCAAAATGCTTTCATTGGTGGGACGGTTTCACTTCAATGGCAGTCCATCCTGAAGAAAAACCTTGGTGCTCCGCTTGGACCTGAAATGATGCTACACCATGCTCAACCTTACTGTGCCAGTCCTAAGGGTGAAACCCAAATTCAACTGAAAAGAGTGCAAAATAAATAAGAAGTTACTAAAAAGAAAGGAAACATTAATCTATGACAAGCAGTCTAGAAAAAGCAATTACGAAAATTAAAAAAAAAGTAAAAAGTAAATGGAAATAAAGTGAAAATAAAGCCAACATAGAGAACAATAGCTACAAATTCAATATATTTCCAACAGGCTACAATTTAATGGAAAATACCAAAATTCGACCCTTCACTTTGCTTCAGAGAACAACTGATTTTTGATACAAGGGCACACTGAACCAAGCAGACATTGTGGTTTCCAGTAAATGCATTTCCTGCTGCTTTTTTGGCCCCATCCCCACCTTCAGGCAGGGCTTGAGAGCTCAGCTCACGTGTGCTTGGCCACTCTGTGACATTGGCACAGGGCCCACATGTCTCTTCAGAGTTGTGTCACATGCCAACTGGCCTTGGGGACACTGGCAGACCTGCTGTGGTGTGGTGCTTGGGTGATGCATGAGGTGACAAGAGACATCCCTGCTAAAAGCTTTGCCATGAAGACCGGAGAAGGTTGATACCAGCCCCAGCAGCGCCTACTCGGGGGTGGGTGGAGAAGGCACTGAGTAACACTTCATTAAGCTGAGTGCTCCTAAAAAGAGGAATCATCATTAACTTTTTGCAACTTCCCAGTCGCTCCTGCTGCCTTGCCCCAGTCAGGACTGTGCTGAGTCACATGGGATGTGGGCTGAGCCCTGTCACTGGGCATGGCTTGACTCAGTTGTGGCATCACCCGAACCTCAGTTTGACTGCTGAGCCACTGGAGAAAGGAAATGCTTCTCAATTTGCCCAGACTTGAATGGTACATTTAATTGGGATACACCATGAAGGCACAGCCCAGTCCCTGCCCTTCCTTGAGTAACTGGGGTATATCATCAGCAATGTCCCAGAGCAGCCCAGTCTGATGGCCATAGGAGCGGTGTACCCAAAAACATTTCCATCACTACACGTGAACACGTAAGCCCTGGCAACAAGCACCACTGCAGCAAAGCTAGGCTCTGAGCTGTCAGGACCTGGAGACATGTAGACCACCAGGCTGTCCCCAGAGTGAGCAGGGCAGAGGGACAGTCTTTGTGCCAAGGCTGGCTTTCAAGCACAGGCTTCCCCATCACTGCTGAGCAAACCCGCTCAGTGATGGGACTTTTTCCAAGGGCAAGTGTCAGCCCAAGTCACCTGCTTTCCCTTCTGGGGAAACAGCCATCCTTGGGTTATAAAGATTGCAGCCTCCCTTCTAGTTACATGGGCTGCCTGACTCCCTCCCCAGCATGGTCACCGCCAATCCAGCCACGAGCTTGAGTTTGGACACTGCATTTTGACTTTGGCACTGGATAATGTTTCCAGTCACCAGGATGCCTGACCTCACTTCCAGTTTGAATTTAGACCTGAAAACCCACTATTTCCAGCCTGCAATTTTCCCTGGGTGCACAGTCCCTGGGTTTGCATGAGCAGAAGCCACCTGCACTGGTACATTTGGGAAGGAGGAAGCAAAAGGTAGTTCATCCGCATTCTCCCATGTAAGGTTTTCAATCTGCCAGGGATTTTGCCAGGGGGGCATCTGAGATGACTTGTCCATTACTGCTCCCATGGACAAGCCCTGGTTGCACTGATGATGTAGGGATTCATCCTTTTTTTAATTACTGCTTGTGCATTCTAGGCTTTTCCCTTGCTCTTAAGCTCCCCTTGAGATTGACTGTGATGGGCTTTCACCTCCTGCATTTCATTTTGCTTGGATTGTGCTTGCCTTTGTAACCTGAGCTCCTTTGAAGTCGGGGTACAGTGTACCTGGCTGGAATGCCTTCTGTCATCAATAAACAAAAGAGAGAGGAAATTGTTTGCAAGTGAAATAACAGGCACTGCCTGCGGCTGTGTACACATGTCACAGGAAAAACCGACTTGTCTTTTTTTCTTCCCCCCCCCCCCCTCCCCCCCGCCTTCTTTAAAGGCAAATAAGTCTCCCAATAAATGCATAGGAACAGCCAAATCTCCTTGTTGTTATGCTGGATTCACCAACCTGGGAGTTCATTACATTAGTTCAGCTGATCATGTATAAAAATACTCTTTACCTCTATCACCACATTTGATTGCTGTGAAGACAGCAGCTCCAATTTGCCCAGAAGAGCCAATTACCCATTTTATTGTTAACCTCATTAACAAATTTCAGGAATCCCTTGCAGGATGGAAAAGGCTGTTGCTGTTTGAAGACTTAAGGTGCTAGTTTTTGGAAGACTTTTGAACAGTGAAGTCTTGCTGCATGGAGCTGCTGCTGAGCAGGGCTGGCACCCACATGCAGCTAACCTCGTCAGTGGAGGTTAGAGGAGTTAAGCAGATGATCGCATGGTCCTCTGTGCTCAGCAGACACAAGACTGTTTCTACAAATTCTTCCATCAGCGCTGATCAAAAGCTTGACAGAACCCAGCAATAAAATAAATTCCCTTTCACCCAACAGTCTGGAAATGAAAAGACATGCGAAGGCTGGAGAAGCAGGCGCAGATAAGCTGGTACAGCCAAGCAGAGAAGATGCAGGGCCCCATCCCTAGCGCAGATAGCATGATTCACATCAGAGGCAGCCTCCCACACAGCGGACCCGTATCTCTCGCCTTTGAAACTGTGCCCATCTGGCAGTTCCCAGGGTGAGCGCAGTGCCGGCTGGGCTGGGACGCACGGGTGGGCACCAGTGGGGCAGACCACAGTGGGCAACAGAAATCATGAGGCTTTTCCACACAGGTTGAAGATGGTGCAAAACCGTGGGAGGGGAAAGGGAGGTAATTTACTGACACAGCAATGCCAGAAAGCGCTTGAGAAGTAGTTCAGTTCTTGCAGAGGAGCAGAAGGGCAGTGGGACTGGGAGGAAAGCTGATGGTGAGGACCAAACTGCTGAAGGCAGCACTTTGCTGAGCAGGGGGAAGAGGATGGTATGTTTTGCAAACTCCAGACTAATCACTTTCTTTCCCCCTTCAACCCACCCTCTTCCACAGATTTAAATCCTTCAAAGCGAGGAAAGCGGAGAAATTTCTGTTTGTTGTTGCAAGGTCCTTTCACAGAGTGGGTTTTCCCCCTAGGCATACCTGGCTGTAATTAAATCCCCGGCTCTTTAATCATCTCTTTTGCTGTGCAGGGATAAGAAAAAAAGCAAGAGGGACAGACTAGTGATAAGATGATATGCAATGTAAATCTCTCCTCCAGGAATCTCTCTCATCTTTTCAGAATCACTTCGTACCAACTTGTCCCTCCAGAAGCTGCACAGCTAGAGGTGGAGTTTGTATAACAATACAAATTTAAATGCAGTAAATAGAACAGATGTCTTATGATTTCTTGATCCTCAGGGTTATAAATATCTACCCCTTTGTCCCACCCAGAGTTTTTGTTTTGTGCATTTTGCTTTGGTTTTTTTTTTTGGGAGAAAAAGTTCTTAAAGGAAAGCTTTCCCCGCCCCCTCCCGCATCTGAGCATCAGATGTGATTTTAGATACCAACCAGGGACTCCAGGTATTTCACTTGCCTAATCCTCTGGCAGCATTTTCCAAGCCAGATACTACACCTGGAAGTTCTCCACGCTATTGCGCTTGCAACTCCTGAAAAGAAAAGCCAGAGCCTAGCCTGCTTCTGCCCATTATGCAAAGTTAAATTATTTTAAGTTATTATGAAATTAGTTATTCTCTGGAGGGAGACTGAGTGGCATCTCACACTCCCAGCCATTCACTATGAGGGCAATTTCATTCACATGGCTTCTGAGATGAGAGGACTCAGGAAGCCCAGCCCCGGAGGACAGAGGGATTGTGTCCCTGATGGCCTCTTACACTTCTTGCCTGGAGACCCATCAGCAATCAGATAAAGATGCTTCAAACATGTAATGAGCAAGGGAATCTCTGCAGTGCAAGATGCCCAGTGCAGAGATACTCCTTTCACTGTCTGCCTTCCCCACCTTGTTTTGTTATCTCCCACCAGACTCCTCCCCTTGACTTATGCTGACAGAATCCCAGCTCATCAGGCAGCCCTGTGCCAACCAGGGTGCTTCATATTATTGCAGAGCCCCAGATTGTTTGAATTACCCTCTACTTCCTATTTTCACTTCCCCATCAGCCCATTCTAGTCTTAGAAATATTCCGTTTTCTAAGCAACAACTTTGTTTCTTCATCAGACAGCTCTCTGTCACAGTGCTATGATACTGCCTTCCTAAACACCCTTTCTGACCTCATTTGGCTCTGTCCAGATCCAAAACTGAGCCCATTTCCCACCTTCACCGCACTTAAGTCTGCTCCACACTTTTCAATATCCTCTGCTATTAGATGATCCTCTTTGCCTAACCACAAACAGTAAATTGGTGCCAGTTCCTGGGCCAATGCTTCATCCAGAGAGCTGAGAAGCCCTTGTTCTCTATGGACAGGTACTACCACAGAAGCTTTTACAACAATGCATCACCAGGTGTATTACTTTGGGCCACTCAGGTCTCCTTAAGACATACTGGGAGCAGCAGCAAGGCAAACTATGTCCCCCCATGCCAAACAAGTGGCAGTCAGAAGATGTACCAGCAGGGTGAAGGGAGACCATGCTGTGGCAGGCCACCTTGGCAAAGGGAAGAGGGTATCAAGAATGCCCTGTGCCATGAGCAGTGGCCACTGGCAATACACAGCATTATGAGCCAGTAGTAGCACCAGCTGAGCCACTTCACTGCTAACAAGTGCCATGAACCATTCCCATATGGGCAGAGCCAATGCTTAACAAAGGGAGAACCAAGACAGGTGCTTTGGGGGATAACCAGCCAAAACTTATGAGGTTGCCAGGCTCCAAAAGACAGCCTGAATTCACCTTTGAAACCTGTAAGAATCTTCTCAGGCATGGGACACCCCACAAACTTTGGAGTTCTGTGGGTCATAAAGTAACAAGACAGGACTAAGCATGATGAAGTGAGGCTGAGGAGCTTTGGACGGGATCCCTCAAGAAGGCTGCCTGAATTAGCAGGGCAACTAACATCCTCCATCTGCAAATGTGGCAAATGCATTGCCTCCTGCGGGGTTGGTGTTTCTGTGCTAACCTCCCCATGCAAAGAGCTGTTTTTGTTTTGAGTTGCCTATTTAAAATGAGGTAGACTGACCCAGAGCCATTCAAGATCTCCTCTCTAGGTGCTCTGCAGCTGTCTTGAATAAGAGGAGTGGTGAGAAAGAGATGTTTACAGTTCATTGGCCACTTCTCACCACAGTAAGTAAAATGAGGCTGAGAAGCTGAAAAATTAGGCTAAACTATTGTAGGGTAATATCCTCGAGGTAGGAGAGGAAAGTGGGAAGAAACCATTGCTATTGAGTCACCCTGGGACTGATGATCAGGCTGGGAAATGGGGCTACAACTTTACCTCTTGTGCAAGTGGAAGATGTTAGTTTTGAGATTTCATTAAAAAAATAGAAACTACAGTAACATTAAAAAAATAATATTAGTAAAATTTACCAGGAATTGGCAGAGCAGGCAACGCTTTTGTCAGCATGAGACTTCTGGGGAAGAGCAGAGTAATGGGCTCAGCAAAGTCTTGCTTGCTGTGCTGTTCCCTGTGTCTCTCTGAAGCTGGTTATTGTGTGTAAAGTGTGCTGGGAGTGAACGAGACCCTGGGATATGGTACTGGTTGTGCTGTGCAACCTGCCAGGCACTGTGTTTGATGTCTACAAGGAGGTTTAAAGTAAATGGGACAGGGTTCAATTCTTATTTTGCCCTTCATTTCTGTGATGTCAGCTCCCATCTATAAAAGTCCTTAAACTTGACCCATTTTCAGGTGCAGGGAGAGATGCAAATAGGGAAGATAGGTTTCCTCTAACAGTAGGGCTCAGAGCAAGTCCAGGAAGATGAGAAAACCCTGACAATGTTTTAGTGAAAGGCAAACTAATGAATAAGAAATCAAAGCTGAGGATCTGGTTGATGAAATTCATTGAAAAGGACATTATATTTCTTATGAATAAAGCTATAATTTACTTAGTGAAGTGGAGAAGCCAGTCAGCAGATATTAATCAACTTTCACCCATCCAGACTGGTGGAATTTGCTTGCACCTTAATCTGCATTTATATCTCCAGCAGTATCAATTCACTATGGAGCAGAAACAAATGCATCTGAAACGCCCACTTAGGCATGAAAGCGCACAAGCAGTTCTGTGGCTAGGCAGGACAGCGCTAGCACATGTTGCATTCCCTGCATACATCATACACTGGAGGAACCCCAACAGAAAGCAGTCATAAAACATTAGCCTAGTCACAGTTTGCAAGAGATATTTTTGGGTGGTTCTAGCCAGAGACCTGATCTGAAAGTAAAGACATAAATTCTAATGTTTTACAATAATTTAAAAGCCAGATGGTGAGAATATTGTTTGCGCCACTTGAGGATCTGGTCCTGCATAAACCAGAGCAGAGCTTGAACAGCCAGTGATAAAGTGGAAAGAACAGATGACAAAGCAGAAAGCAGTGCTTTGCAAGCTCTCAGGTGAGATGGCTTTACTGCCACCAGGAATTAGCAATTTTCCCCTTTCTTTTTTGGCGTTGCGACTGCAAACCTCAATGCACCATCATGAAGAGGAGAGGTTTGCATCCTATGACCACTTTACTCCTATGTTTCTGATGTCCAGAGTTTTGCACTGTAGAATATTAGTAGCAATATGGACAGAAACTGCACAGACAGATGAAGGAAAACTGCCTGGCTGACAAAAAACTAGTGTCTGTGTTAAATGTCCCGAGGCAGACTCCCCAGCAAAGCAGATGCTGCACCTGAGCCTGTAGGCCGCTTCTGGGTTAGATCGTGCTCATAGGCATGATGGGTCTCTGTGCGATGAAACCTTCTGACTATGGGAAGGGTCGGGTCTCTGGTTAGCACTAACATCTAATTATTTGTTAGGGAGCAGGGTGAATGTTATAATTCCCGTATCTTCAGGGCTGTATCTGTTATGTTGGGTACACTGGCATGGCAGTGCAGGTAACCTTATCTACAGTAGTTTCAACCAAACTAACTTGGGAAACAACAGCTGTGAAGAGAGACAGATATCCTAGACATAACAGCAGTGTCCTAAAGACAGATATCCTGGATCCAATAGCAGTGTCCAAGCTCCATCTAATACTACACCTTCTACTATGAGAAGCCCCTCCTGCTGCAGCTGTACAAGTGCTATTGCTGCCCACGTTACCCAGCTTGAAACAAGGACACCATAGCCATGCAGCAAATCAGACTGGATTGTAAATATATGTAACAGGGATTTAACTGATATGTCTAATTCAAGAGCATAGTTGCTGGGGAGCTCCTCTACATTCAAAGGAGGAAAAATGTAACAGAAGGTGACTCGGCCCCTCTAAAACCTGAGTGATTCCTTGCGTGCTGTCTAGGAGACAGCATGCAAAGACTAACACAGGGAAAGCCTCTGTCAGCAGAGGAGTTTGGATCAGAAGCATACTTTGGAGAGCAGCTACTGATCACCCCAGTTGTCACGCTGTGTTCCATGCTGTGTAACAGCAAACAGGGTTGTTTTCCAATGAGACTGGATGAGAGGGTGTATCCAGCTGGTAGCAGGTGTTGAACTCACAGGACCGAGAGACAGCTAGTCCAAAGCCACCCTCCCAGAATGGACATGGCAAAGACACCAGCTCCTTAGCTCCAGCCAGTTTACTCTGCAGACTACACTTGCTGATGTACAGCCCTATTCAAGTACCCAGATTTGGTGAGACCAAACCAACACCATGCCAAATCCAAATCACATGGAAGTAAAGCTGCCATTTCCCAGATGAGAAGCTCCTCCAGATTGCACAGGAACTCTGCAGCAATGCCCAGGAAATTAAGGCAGATTTAATAAGAAGACCACCCCTCTTCAGGATATTTCTTAACTTGCATTCCTACCTTGAGGCTTGCTTATAACCATCTGCTGTTTTTTCTGTAAAATTATTAGCCTCTTCCTCCAAAAGAAACATTCTGCTATAACACAATATCTTTTGGTTTTGGCCCTGCTACTGCCTAATTCAGCTGACCTTTTCCTTTTACCAGTTTTGGTAGTCTCAATGTTCTGTTGCCTGCCTTTTTGTCTTTTTCAGTAAAGTACAAGCTTGCTGTGCTTGTTTCCATGCAGCAGAAACAAGTCCTTCCTCTACACTGAAGGGATCTGTGAAAATGCCAGTAAGATCATCTACTTACAGAGTAATGCCAGTAAGATCATCTAATTTACAGAGTGCTACTAGGTAAATGTAAATTAGCTAACCTCCACCAGGGAAAACCTTAGTCAAGGCACTTCAGCTTCAATGTAAATTTTGTTACAAAAATCAGGACAATCTGTCACTCCTGTGAAATTTTAGCTCCACAGCTTAAAGATCTGCAAAGAAAGACAGTGGCAAGAAAGCTTTCAGAACTCTCCTTGTCCTTATTTCTTCTCATTACAAGAACAGAATAAATGTGGAGTCGCTTCTGTTTTTGCAGCCAGCTGCAGCACGCAGGATTTGACTGTCAGTATTACACCTGGATTTGGAAGAACATGTGTCAAAAAGGTAGTAATTTAGATAGTGGTGTGGCAAGAGGTGTACTTCCACTTCACTTACCATTTGAAGGACACCGAAGTATGACATCAAGTATCCAGACTCCACTGCTTCCAAGCCAAAAAAATCCATAGAGATGATTGAAAACATAATCAGGAACAAACCTAGAGGAGGGGTTAATGAAAAGCATACATAAATATACTTGCACTGCATACAGTGGTCCAGACCCTGCTCCCAATCACCCCCAGTATGAGTCAGTAGCTCTCCCTGGGATTGCCAGGACTGGATATAAACACAAGCAGAATGCTATTCAAAGTCATTGTAGTAATTTAATCTTTAAATGTTAACTTTTTTATCCCCCTTACTTTCATCTTTAAATAATGTAACTACGTAGGCTGTAGATTCAGCTGTTTATTATAAACTGGTAAATATTTGTATCATCGAAGCCAGGCTAACCATTAAGACAGCAAGAAAACATTTGTTCAGACAAGACTGTAACCATTAAAATAATCTGATTGGATGCCTCACCTCTTTTACCTGGCTTTAGATTTTCACCATGGGGAACAACCCGGTGACATCAGCCTAAATACAGAGATTTCACTGCACACCTCGGCAATGGTGAAATATCTCTTGCTTGGACCGACAGCAGTGTCGACACAAGCAGTCAGGAAAGTACTCACAGAAGCAGCACAGGTTGGGTTTGTTTTTCAATTAAGGCAATTTCTGGAAAGTGTAACAGAAAATGCCCACTTGCTTAATATCACATGAAAATACAGTAGTGTGCATTTCCACCGCCACCAAACATACACAAACATAGACATGCATACACATGCTCCCATCAAGTCACAAATATTATGACAAAATATTGCTCTCAAGGAGTGGTATAGGGTAGGAGGCTACTGCCTCCCCTAGTGTCTTGTGCACCTCAGATGGACCAAAACAGTAGGAAACTGGGGCTCTCTGCATGTGAACAACCACACAATGTGCCCACTGGAGAGCAGTGATTCTGCTGAGGAGAGAAGAGAGCAGGTGGCCTTTAGGGGTCCTACCCTTCTTTGTAGGATCCTCTGAGGTACAATGACTGGGTAAATAGGGAGCTGTGGTCCTCTTGTTCGTGAAGAAAACAGACCCCAGGAGGACTGAGAAGGCAGCTTGTGGCCTGGAAAAATGAATCACTGTGGCATGGGAAGGATTTGCTGGCATTTCCTGGAAGTGTGAGAAGAGCTATCCCAAATTGCTGACTGAAATGCTGTGGAAGACTTGCACCCTAACAAACCAGCACAACTCCACTGCATTTCAGCGCCCCAGAGGCGCTGCTATCAGTGGAGCACCTGCAGCAATGAGGACCTCCCTCCAAGCATCCCAAGCCTTTGCCTGGAGGGGCTACCACCCTCCCACAAAGCCTTCCTGAACCCCACTGGAGACACCTTTTCCTCCCATAAAGGGGATAGCTGAACCCCAGCTGGCCTCAAGTTCTGCCCTATTCTGCCACTCTCCAGATACTTGGAGAAAGTGCTGGGGAGTTGGGGTTCATGAAGATTTATGGCTTCGCCACACCCCTCCGCAAAGAGCACCTCGTCATTATCCAGTTTACTTTGAAATCACTCTCAGCTCAAGCCAGTTTAAGGTAACATGCAAATAACAGTATTTACTCACAACATCCAAACCAGGCAACAGGGTTGCACATGTTTATAAAAGGCACACGTGAAGAAATGAAAGAAAAACCACACTTCGTTTCACTTGCAGGAAGATTAGATAGAAGCGGGCACTCCCCCTTCATCCTGCTAGCGTGCTGCAGGTACCACCTAGGAGACGCTCAACCTTCCTACATACATGATGCTTCCTCCTACTACCACACACCAGCTTCTACAGCTCCTCTATCCTTTCAAGTCACTCACGGAGTTAAGGCAGATTTTGATCTTTCTCCTTCCAATGAGCTGATTTCTTTTGGAGCAAGGGGATAGGCTGTGCTTGCTAATTAGGGTTACACATTGAATCCTCTCCTGGAGATGCAACAATCTCTTCCTTAGATGGGTGTCACGCCCTGTGCTCACATGGTCATTTAAAGCTACCTGGACAAGCAAAACCCCCTTTCCCCTGTCTTCTTTCAGCAAGTAGGGGTGTCTCTCCCACTGGCCACACATTTCTTCGTGAAACCCACAAGGTGAGCACCAGACTGAACTCAAAACATTTCATGCTCATAGGAACAAGCATTTCTTACAAAGATCTCATCTGGGTAGGCTGCAGGTCAGCTGAGTGCAGCCACATGAGTAATGTACCCATCCTGGGTGGGCTTGCTAGGGTAGTGTGTGCCCGGGGTCTTCTGGGAACACCCAAAGCCCATGGAGGAGCTGCCCAGATAGGCCTTAATCCATGCTGCAAGGCTCAGGTTTTCAACTGGAAAAGAGATGGAAATTAGCAAAAGATATCCTCAGAAACTTGGCTTTTTTTTTTGAGGGGGTATAAATAAGGGGTGAACTCCTTAGGAAACTTGGCACCAGTGGGATGAATAACTAGGGTTCTGCAGCAGAAGGCAGATAAATGATTTGTGAGATGTGATAAAGACGAGGAAAAGCACCAAGGAGACACAGGAATGCAAACTGTATTTTCCAAAGGCAGCCCGTGGCTTTGGAAGGCCACTTTAGCAATCGGTACTGAGAGCCAGTGTGAGAAGGCAAGCACGGCCTCTTGGAGCCTGTCTCAGCCCTCTTACACTGAACTGCAAATGTGATGGGATGCAGAGCCCTGCGGCTCACTGCACAATCTGGTTCCACATGTGAAAAAAAATGTCCTTTTAAAAATGGGATGCAGGTGCCAAAGCAATAATGTTAAAATCAGGTTTTCCAAAGGCAGTAGGCGGTCAAAGATTCATATACTCAGCTTTTTATCAGTATTTTCAAGGTCCTGGTGATTTCTGGTCAGAAAGAGGTACGTTAGATATGTCTTTATCCTTGTGTTTTCTGTCTCTTATCTACTGCACTGCAATGAAGTTCTTTTTTCCCAGGTAAGTTGAGAACATAATTTGGCCATGCTGTAGTGTCCATCCCCTGGCAGCTACCCTCCTGCAAGAGGCACAGGGCCCGTGTCTCTGCTTTTATGCAGCACAGGGAGGAGGTTCCCAGCCCTGCAGCCCTCCTGGGGAGGCTCTTTTGGTCTCAAACAAGCTAATTTTAGACAACAATGAGATTCATAAGGAACAGAAGGTTTTCTTCTGTGTATATCACAAACTTGTTTACAAGGTAAATAGAGAACAGTCTGTAATTTGGTTAATCTAATTAATTATACAGTTGCAGCCTGGAGATGAAAGGCAAATGTACTCATGAGGAGCTCAGCCTCCAGTTGTGAGCTGCAGAGAAGTAGGTGGTGGCCGAATCCCCTTTCAGCTGCCATCATGTATGGTCAATCACTTGAAGAGAGACATTCAAAGAGAAGCCTCTAGAATTTTAGCAATTCCTCACTGTAGTGTAAGCACTATACTTGTAGCAGGAGTGCCTCAACTGAACACACACCTATTCTTATGGAAATAATCCCAGACATTTCAGTGACAGACTATTAGCCCTAGTCCTGCCTTACATCTCAGCTTCACTGTCTTCATCCTCTTTGCCTAGAAGTTCCATTGCAATTTTGGGCAGGAGATGCTTATTTTGGTTGTGTATGTTTTTGCTGTGCAAAGGAAAAACGTCTTCTGCAACAGGGAGGAATTTGCATTTCAGCAGGGATGACTAAAACAAAGTGCATGTTGCCTGGCCTTTGGAAAAAAGGAGACTGCACAGGAAATTACGGTGCAGATTCCATATGGATGTGGTCTCAGGAATTTTTAAACAGAGAAATGAATGCTACTTAAAGCTGAGAAATGAGCCAGAATCAGCAGAGAAAACCCTCTTAAAAGATCACTTGATTGTTTCGTTCTGTGAAATGCTGTCATTTTATAAAAACTTTTAAAAATAAAGTTTTAAAAGCTTAGTCTCATAAGAACCAAAAATGTGCACTGTGAGGGCAAGCCAGGCAGTCCATTCAGACTGTATCCTGTCTCCAGTGGTGGGGGAGGACCAACTGCTATTGCTGATCCAGCCAGTGCCAACTACACACAAAAAGAAATAGGAAAAAAAAACTCCAAACAAAACCCAACAACAAACCCAAAAACCCAAACCAGAAATCCTTTACTTCCCTGAGTGTTATTCTACAGCACCAGTCAGACTTGTTCCCCCAGAACCTTAGCAAAGAATAACAGAAGAACCTGACCAAGGCCAGAAATGCCATCCCTTTCTGCTTCAGCCACTCCCCACAACCAAATCTACTTTAATTTGTAAACTGAATTTCCAGTTTACAAATTAGAATTTAATTTGTAAATAATGTTTCACTTTATTTAAACTTCATGGGCTTTTCCAGATGTAGATGAAGTGGAAAAAGATGTAAAGTATAAAAGCTAAGGTGTCTTAAATCCTCTCTTAGGATCCCTGCTTAGAAGGGAAGTTTGTTCAGATGCATGATGTGCACGTGTTTTGATATGCACAAAATTCAATCCTTGAAACCATAATCTAGACAAACTGCATTTTTAAGTTTGACTGGGAAAAAAGCCATGAAAATGTGTGTAAGGGCAGAGAGCACCACCACTAACAAGGCTGACGTGCTGGCTTGTCTTTAAACAAGCAGGGGGAAAGGCAGACAAAATTAACGATTACTAAACTGTGGCCAAGGATATGTATAACCAGGCAAAGTGGGAGACATGGACCATGCCAGGACAGCAACTGACTCAAAGGGAGCAGGGAAACAGGCAGGGCTGGGATGGGGGTTTGAAGTAGCAGCTGGTTCCCACCATGACACAAAACCCCAAGTGGAATATATAAAGAATAGAAGAACAGGCGCCACCATTGACATGCAAGGGAAGAAACATGCTGTGGCTTCCCTTCTTGCAGCTAACAGTTAGAACAGCCATGGCTTCTTGTCCAGCAATAGTTTTTAGTTGCTGGGAAAAAGGTTAGGATACATATACCTCTTAAAATCACCAAGTAAATCAAGAAGGACCTCAGCGTTTCTGGCAGAGGAAAAACTATTTCCTTCTGCTCTGAAGAGGTTACAGCCTAAACAGAAATGGCAGTCAAGAGGAAAAAGTATTTAGAGGGGGACGGAGCAGAGAGATTAAGCGATTTGCCAAAAGTCACAGAAGCAGCCTGTGACAAGTAGTCTGTTTTACATTAAGTCCCAGGGTTTTGACCCATGTACCTTCAGAGCGTTTGAAAGTATCCAGCATCAAGTTAGGAACTGAATTCTCACCGCTCCATGATCTAATGAAATGCGCTTCCAGTAACTTGAGACAAGCCTGGTCTACAGTGTATGTCACCTTATTTTAAATACATCAGCAATTACAAGTAATGAGTTAGATTTACCTATGGGAAGTCCAGCAAAAACTTTGACTATGAAAACTTCTGTTACTCCCGGAAACTTCATCAGGCGTAGTATTTCTCTGATGCTAAACACACTGCCAGACTGTGATGTGCCTACAGAAGATGACATATTGATTAATAATCTATATATATAGGTTGTAGGCAGAAAACAAGAAACTCTGTGACTGTCTGCTGAGGTTCACCACCAGCTTTCTGAAAAGGCATGTCTCTGCAGCACCAGCTTTGTGCCAATGGCAGGAGGTTGGGAGCCGGTACTAGGCCTGCATGCAGAGGACTGCTGTGAGACAGCAGGACTGCCTCCTGTGCCAGGCCAAATTAACCCCCAGCAAGAGGTTCACATTCACCTTCACAAGCACTGGGCTGGAAAGCCTGCAAATCTGCATGGCAGAGTGGTTAACAGGTAGAAAATAATACTCTTTTAAGCATTGAAGTGTCAGCATTTCAAGGTTGGCACCTTTTTGCCTTAAAATAAGTGCCCAAGTCTTTTAGCAGTCCCTACAGCATGTCAATCCCCTGTCCCTATTCACATGCTGTTTATCAGAAACACTAAATACTTACTGTGCTCTGTCAAATGATGATCTGACTTTGGTTTAGCCTGCAAAGGGATCCAAAACATCGCTATCACGGTATTTATGAGATTTCCCACCAGCCCCACATATATAGGAGCAAAAATGCTGCAAACAGAAAAAACACAAGTAAGTGGGTAAATATAAACAAGAAATGTTTACCTCCATTCTGCAAAAGGCTTGGGCATTTGGATGAGGAACAATCCTCTTGAAGTCATAGTACATAAGGCTATAAAAAAGCACACATTCTGTCATGGAGGTTTTGTATATGACCACAGTTTGAAATTTCAGCAAAAATTACTATTGGCATAAAGATCATTTATTGTTTGTATGAATAAAAGGATATAACACAATGCTTTAAAATTGTGTCATGCAAAAAGAGCTCTTCTTGGTTTAATGAACCTTACAAATCTTTCCATTGAAAGCTCAGCATCTGCTTCTTAGGATCCATCTAATCCCCATCTAATCCGCAATTTCATTCATCTAAGTATCATCTCAGTCCTTGAAATTTCTCAGTGCAATCCAATGAATTTAAGGACAGTGAAAAAGTACTCAAGATGATTAAGGATGGTAGAATACAGCCCAACCTACAACCAGAACTGAAAACACCATTTGAAAAGGAGCTGCTAAAAATAACAGTCGTGATTTACAAAACCTTCTGAGGAGGTGAGTAAACAGCACTTCAATTGATGCACCTCCAGAGGTGCCTAAAATCAAATCAACACTGCTTCAACTGTCCTTCACAGCCCCAAAAGCTGGATCTACAGAAGTAGAGCCACATCCTTAGATGCAGACACAGTGAACAGCTATTATTAACAGTAGTTAAACAATGATAAAAAGAAACAATTTCAACTTAACTAAAAAAACCAAACACAAACCACATAAAAGGCATTAGAGTCAATAATAAATCCTCAATTATCACTGTCCTCTTAAAAGAGAAAATTAGGAAATTACTCCTCCTAGTATTTAAGATCATGTGGGAAAATGAATTTCAGACTCTGAAGGGCTTTAACTGTGCCAAACACAGGTGGAATGAAGTCCAGGGCTGTAAGACTGAAACTCAGGAGAGTCAAGCTGAAAACAAAGGGTGAAGCTTGTTTTGTTCTTAACAGTGAGAGCAATTATCCACTAAACCAGTTCACTAAAAGTCTCCCCTATCAGGGGAACCCTGTTAGTTGAAGGGTTTCATAAAGCATTTGCTTAAAACCTACTGCAGGGGACAGGTTTGGGATGGGAATGCCCAGCGGAAACACCAAAGGGGGGTGTCACAGAAGGCACAAGACTAAGTGACCATCATGTTGTTTTGAGGGCATCGACATTTAAACACCCTAGCTTCAGCAAACTAATGCATGTGTTTCAACAGGGAAAGCTTTGTAGCCATGTGGGTCTATTCAGACTCAGAGGTGACCACGCCATCCCCAGCAACCTGTGTTGTAAAAACAAGATGCAAAAGCGAGCTCTGAGCAGCCAACCAATGCTCCCTGTGAGCCTGCTGATACAGAGCAGCTTATTGCCTGACCTTTTACTGATGTTTTCCTTGTCAGACCATTGTATATATTTTTCATGAATAACCAGCAGCAGTAATTGTAGAAGCCTCAAGTTTCCTCCGTGCTAGACAAAGGTCTGAATAATTTATAGAGTATTATTAAAGTCCCAGAACAAGACAGGCAAGGATTGAGATGCTAACAACTGAGAAAAGCATCAAAGAGCAAATACATACATATACACACTTATTTTCACTAGTAGCAACAGCAGAAATCCCAGCTGAATATTTTAATTCTCATTAATTATTCTTAATAACAACAAAGACAGATAATATCTTCCTGCAAATGGACTTAGTGCAGTAATTTAGACCTGCTGCCTTCCATCTGCCAAGCTGTTCTGCTAATTACCCCAGACCACAAAATTAGTCATTTACTAGATCATTAGTTTTTATTTTTAGTGCAGCAGATTGCCACTTTCTGATTTAAAATTATCTGTCAAGCAGTTCCCAAACTACTGAAATTAACTTTGCGGACCCAAATTTTTATCCAAGAAATCTGGAATTTCTACTTTGCATTGCAACATACAGTAAATTTGCTAACAAAAAAAAAAAAAAAGAAGGGATGAAATAATCACAATAAGTAGCTGCAGCTGGTTTAGTGGTTTTTAGGGCTTCTATATTTCAAGCTTTCCTTCTGATATGGAAAAAATGCATCCAAAAATCTTCATTGGACAAAAAAACTTTCTTCACAGTCCTGTTTTTTCCTGAGGTTTTTCAGAATCCCACATGCCAACATAAATATGTTTTATCCTTCAGATCCAAGAAGAATTATAGGAAACAATGAGAAAAGGATCCCCCTATAGAATTAGAAAGCAAAAATTGCACTGCTTCACTACAGGCGTACCACTGATAATTCATTGCTGTGGAATGAGAGAAGAAACTTGACAATATACCTATTTGGGAAAAGCTGGTCTTACTGTAATGGATTTGTGGCATTTTGTATGGCTGGACTCTGAAATCAGAGAAATCCAGTAAAATATCAAGCCCAAAACTGTGTTTCCCAGACAGGCCTGAAGTGTTCAAAATCATCTGAAAACCCCTTTTCTTAACCACAGCTTTCTGTAAGCACTTCATCTTTTTCCACATATTAAACAGTTGCATTCCTACATGGAAAGGTGATGAAGGTGCACTCTCAGATTAGCTTCTCCACTATCTCATCCTTTGGCAGGGATGAACTCTGGAATTGGAGAGGACGCATTTGTGCCCAGGAACCCACTCCTTGCATTTCTCTGTTTGCTCATTTCAGAAATATGAAGTGAAACCAAGGGTTATAAAAATGCCTTATCAACACAGCAGGTCATCAATTTTTTTCCCTGATGGAGCTTAATTTCTTTTTTTCTGATGTTTCCATTACAACCAATGAGTTACTCATGATGACACCTCCCGTGCCACCCCTCTGGTACATAATCAGTGGGACACATCCTCCCACTCCTACAGTAAAGAGCAACTGTTCTACAAAGCAGCAGCGCAGGGCAGCTGTCCTGGGTTCAGCAGTTGCAGTCATTTTTTCTCCTTCTTAGTAGCTGGTGCAGTGCTGTGTTTTTGACTTCTGGCCTGGGAATCGTGCTGATAACACCGGTGTTTTTAGTTACCACTCAAATGTTTTGGTCTGGCCAAGGGCTTTGTGAGCCTCATGCTCTGCCAGGAAGGAGGGGAAGCTGGAAGGAAGCAGAGACAGGACACCTGATCCAAACTGACCAAAGAGGTATTCCATACCACAGCACGTCATGCCCAGGATGTAACTGGGAGTTACCCGGAAGGGCTAGAGTGGACTGCAGGGTTGGAGGAGGTATCGGTTGGTGCTTGGTCGGGCTGGGGGGGGCGAGTTATCGGTCGGCGGGTGGTGAGGTGTTGTATTCTCTTCCCTTGTTATTTCCTTTATTATTATTGGTGGCAGCAGTAGTGATTTGTGTTATACCTTAGTTACTAAACTGTTCTTATCTCAAGCCGTGGGAGTTACATTCTTTTGTATTCTCCTCTCTGTCCTTCTGGGAGCAGGGGGGGAAAGAACGGGGGTGAGTGAGTGAATGAGCTGCCTGACTGGTTTTAAATCATGACAGCAGCTTTCTTGACACATCACCACTTCTGAATCCCCTGTAGGATGCTTTGGGACTTGGGTAGGGGAGGGACTGCACATATTGTCTTTTCCTGTTACACAAAGTCACATAAATATTTACACTGTCATGTAGAAGGACACAAATGCTAAAACCAGTGTGCATGTGCTGAATTATTATTTCTGGCAGCAGCGAAGACAAATGCCAGTGGGTTGAGCTAACAATATTCTTGCAACAATGCTGACAGGAGACTGGAGGCCAGTGCATTTGCTGGGGAAACTGGTTGAAGTTGCAATGATGCTGCTGGATCCTCAGCTGGAGCTGCTCCATGTCACTGCCACTGACAGGGAAAACTACCCACACGTTTGGACGCCACCGGGTGGGGAGCTGCAGCCCTGCAGAGGTGGATGGGACGGAGGTGGTAGTGGTTTGGAGGAGTCCAACAAGTAGCAGGAGGGTAGGGGAGGGTCTGCACCACATAACAGCCCCAGGGAACAGTGCTTTGGCAGGGGAAACAGTCATGCTATTGCCACCGTCAGAGAAAACAGCTGGAGGTTATCACTGATAATCCCTCTGCTTTGCTTGCTGGACCATTTCCTACGTTCTAAGCAAGTGCAGGACCTGGGGCTAAACTGTTGCTCTTATTTCTTACTGGTCTGATGAGGAACAGGTGGCACAAAACAGAACAGCAAAGCTAAAGGTGAGACACTCCAGCCCCTCAGCGGAGCCAAAGGCTAAGGGTAAGAATGATTGCTGTGTTGACAACTCCTGCTGGCTTGTGGGCACACTTTTTTTTTTTCTTCCTTTTTAAAAAGAGTTAAACATGAAATCTCATCTGTGCTGATACCAGTGTGATTCCTTCTGCATTCAGTTTTACCTGCCTGGCTGAGCAGGAGGAAGTTTTGCCAGGAAGGGATGTGGTGTCATTATTAAGAAAAATGAGGCACATTAAGCAGGTTGCTCCCACAGGACCTTTTCCCATCCTCTTTCCCTTCCTGCCCTCCCTCTTGTCCCTCCTGGCTGTCCACAAACCAGCCATGTGAAGCCAGCGCAAGCTGTGCCAAAACCAGCAGCAGATTTCCTGAGCAGAGCAGAACAAAGGATGCGGACAGGACTAATACAATTAAATTAAAGGGAGCAAAAGGACGCAGCAGCTTTGGCAGCTGGAATTATTGTGTGGCCTCTTCCAGCTTCTTGCTGATTAATAGAGGCTGAGAGCCTTTACTGTCCTAGGCTTTATGGTCAAAATAACTTGAATAACTTATCTGCATACTTCAGCACATTACTTGTATTTCCTTTGCTTCTCTTGCATCTAGAGAAAGAGTCCCTTGCTGACTCTTTGTTAGCAGCCTTCCTTGCTGTCCCTTGGGGTTTTCTGGTAGCGAAGCTCCTCTCAGGTTGTCAGTTAAGACCACAGCTGTCTGTTGTTTGTGTGTTTTCTGCCTTGCCCTGAAAGGGAGGAACAAAATGCACTGTCCTGTCCTACATGGGACTGATATGCCCCAAGGTCC